CCCCTCGGGTGGGTTATCTATTGGTTTGTAAGAGGGCATCCCAAAGGTTTTTAAACAAAGTTCCATGCACTAGCCCTTGAAAGCTTTCCATCATAACGACTACTCGTAAGACGGTAATCCCTTCAAAGGATGAACACAGAGTCATGTCTCAGCAACCTTTGGAATAAGGTTCTAAAAGGTCCTCAGAGTCACGGACTCCCAAGTTGGAAATAAAAACGCCATTACGACTACACGTAAGACATAATCATCCCAAAGGGGTCTATCTGAGCGGTGGGATTCGATCCAACTCAACGAGTCCTAAGTCTCGCAAATCAGAAAGAAACCACCTCCTAATCTTAGTGTATACTCGAAAGCTCGGGTAGAAAGCTTTATCTCACAAACCATCCAATAAACCCAACAGGTTAGAGAATCAAAGCATAAACAAATAAAGCAAATAAAACACAAATACGATAAACAAAATAGGCTTGGCTTGCTAGGGTCCCCAGCAGAGTCGCCAGCTGTCGCTACTCGAAAAATGCATCGTGCAACGACGGGGAGGCGAAAAGAGAGGACAGGAGAGTCGCCACCGAACTTTATTTATCCCATGAGGGAAAAGGAAAATATCGAGAAAACCTTAAGAAAAGAATGGATAAGATGGTCTCGCAACCAAGAACGGGTTCGGAAGCCGGTTATGCGAAGGGAAGGTATTAGCACCCCTCGCATCCATCGTACTCGATGGGAACCTTTTGTTCGTCGATGTGTGATTTATTTGCTTAAATAAGAGTGTTCTAAAAGATAGATAGAAGGGTTTAGAAACGAAGAAAGGAGGGATAGAGAGATGATGGGGGAGAAAGGAGATAGAACAGACTCGGTAGGACTTCGCAGTCCTATGCCTACGTATTCTCAATAGATGTGAGAAAGTCAGAGTCGACGTAGTTCGGGGAACTACAGATATGGGGGGAATGTGCTCGGCAAGGATTGTGGCCCTTGTGCCTACGTATCTTTACTTGAAAAAGTGAAGAATCAGAGCAGCCGTAGTTCGGCCTACGGTTTGCGGGGAAGTCTTAGTAGACGCTGCTATCGTGCGCATTCTAGCAGTTAGGTGTTTTGCTGCTCGCATGTGAGGAGACTTATGCGTACCTGTTTGCGGTAGAACGGACGTAACATATCCTGTTTGAAAGGTTGGTTTTCGCCATGTGAGGCAAGGTATCACGTTTGATTTGTTGAATTGTTTTTAGGGGGCGAGACATGTCCTCGGATAGTAACCCCTACGGGTAATACCCAATTCATTGTCTCAAAGTTTTTGTTATTACAAGGTGTGGCGAACGAGGCGTCTTCGTATTGAAAGACGAGTATCAAGACCACACACACTACAGTGAGTATCCTGACACTCGGAGAGGAAGAAGACTACACTCAATCCTCTCTCTTTAGTTCAACACAAAAAGAACTTCATTCTCTTATTAAAGTGTTTTTGGCTTTGAATGGTAAGTGTTTTGCGACAGAGAACCCTACGGTAAATGTCAACACTCGGGATAGGAGAAGGCCTACGCCTAACCACTCCACGACCATTCAAGTTTTTGTTAAGAAAATGATTTGAAAATACACTTGGTGCAGGTCCGAGGTTTTAGGTGAGAAAGGTTACGGAATAAAGTTAAAGAGGGAGAGGTGGATAAAGTCGCGCCTTCGTTTTGAAAGACGAATATCAAGACCACCCTCACTACAGTGGGCATCCCAACATTCGGAGAGGAAGAGGTCTACACCTAATCCTCTCTTTTAATTTAATACAAAGAGAAAAATAATTTATTATTGAAAATATACTCAATACGAGACCGAGGTTTTATGAGGAAATGTTGGAAGCGTCTTTGTATTGACGGACGAGCATCGAGACCACCCTCACTACAGTGGGCATCCCTACGCTCGAAGAAGAAGGGGTCTACACCCAATCCTCTTTTTAGCTCAACACAAAGAATCGATTTTAAGGAGATGGGATTTGAAGATGGACGGGAAGCGTCTTCGTATTGAATGACGAGTGTCGGAACCACCCTCACTACAGTGGGCATCCCAACACTCGGAGAGGAAGAAAGTCTACACTTAATCCCCTCTTTTAACTCAATACGAAGATGATTTGATTTTGAAAACTGTTTGACAAAGTTTTTGAATCGAGTCAGGACAAATAATGAAGAGAGAAAAGGGGTGGTCTCAGATCCAACATTACCTATCAATAATTTGACTGGTAATGAATTACGGAGGTCTCGTCATCGACCGAAAAGGAGAAAAATGGGACAAAATGCCCAATAACAAATGAAATAGAATTCAACTCTAAAAATAAAATAAGTATAAAATTCTAAAAGAAATTGCAACAAAACTATAACTTAGAAAAAAAAATAATATAATAACAAACTAATATATAAACTATATATCTTAACAGAATATAATATATAATAAAAATAATAATATATTTACAAACTGTTTTAGGAAATGCTAAGAGAAATAAAGTATAATATATATAAACTAGAAATGGAACAGGGGGTTTGTGGCGAATCAGGTGGACACGGCCTTACAGCCCAAAACAAATATCAGCAAAAAAATAAATAAAATAAATAACAATAAAATCAATGAAATAAAAAAAGAACGGTGGGCCTCACAGATTGAAACAGAAAGAACAAGAACAACAATATCGATAAAAATCTTCGATCTCAACTTCTCTCTTTTTCGATTTGCAATCAAGTTCGACTCCTGTCTCAAATTTCTCCGCCTTCGATCTATTTCAAACGCCTCTTACCACCGTCACTTTGCCTCTACCTGGCTTGCGTTTACATTCAGGTTCGGCTTGGAGCCATTCTTTTTCAATCCTTCTACTCTGCTCTGAAATCAGATTAGAATGTTTTGAGTCTTCCATGGGTTGTTTTCACTCTTCATCCCCATTCTTTCAGTTTGTTTTGAAATGGATTTTGGGTTTCATCTGGGGAATGGATAAATTGGTGGATCTGAAAACAAGTTGAGGACAGAGCACGAGTCCAGGTTTCAACAGGTTCTTCGAAAATGAGTTTTCCGGTTTATTAAACTTGAAGGAAATTTCTGAAAGTTTTTTCGGTTTTCTCGATGTTGAAGGTGGTTCGGAAGAAGGGTATTTTTCTGTTTTCGACTGGAAGGATTTGATAAAGGGGTTGCGAACGGTAACTGTTTCGGTTGTTGGTTCGGTCTTGAGTTTGTTCAGATGGCTTTGAGTGAGGTTAGGGATGAAGATGCAGGTGGAGTTGGTGGCGGCAGCTAGGGTTCCCCTCCTAGAAGAAGGTGAATAGTGCAATGGGTTTATATACAGAGGAACAACACGTGTTGCCTTTGATGTTTTCAATTTTTAATTGAAATTCTGTACTATCTTTTTTATTAACAAATCTAATAATAATAATAAAACTAATCTAATCCTAATTTAAACTAACTAAACTAATCTAAATTAACTCTAACAATTTTAACTCTAACAAAATTCTATTCTACTAAATAAACTAATTCTAACTATTTCTAATTTACTCTAATTAAAAATAACTAATCTAATCCTAATTAATTAAATTAAATATTCTAACCTAATTAATAAAGATCTAATTAAGAACTATTAAAATAAACTATATTCTAAAGGAAAAATAAATAACTATTTTAATTCTAAAAATATAATAAAGCAAACTATTTAAATCAATAAATGTTAAAACAAAAATAATATACAGAAATTTAATATTTAAAAAGAAAAAAAAAAGGAAAATGAAAATGGAAATAAATTTTACCAAAATGCCCTTAGGCTACGTGTCACGCTTCCATTGGGCAAAAAAGTTGAGATTTGAAAAATGCCTAATTGGGGGCAGACACGTGTCTAAACGGCATGAAATTAAATTAAATAAATGCAAAATAAAATGCGAAAATATTTACAAAAGATGACGGGCAAATTTAGGGTATGACATTTGGTAGCTAGATACACGAAGAAATCAATTAAAATTTACTTGATAACTACAAAAAGAATCCTAAGGTATCTAAAGGTAACTATGAACCTGGGAGTTTTGTACAAGATGAATGATGAGATGGTCTTGCAAGGGTGGCCTGACTCTGATTATGCAGGAGATAATGAAGACATAAAAAACACTATAGGGTATGTGTTCAATCTTGGATCAAATCCTATTATGGTAGTCAAAGAAGCAATCCATTGTGACTCTTTCAAACACTGAAGTTGAGTTTGTTGCAACAATCTAATGTGTTTGTCAAACACTGTGGCTTTAAAGCATTCTTTACAAGCTTGGTCAGACTCAAAGTCAAGGTACACTTATCATGTGTAACAATAGTTCTACAATCAAGTTGTCAAATATCTCAGTGATGCATGAAAACTGCAAACAAATAGATGTGAGATTTTAATTTCTTAGCAACTTGACCAAAGATGGTACAATTGAGATGAAACATTGCAACACAGGAGAACAACTTGCAGATGTACTAACGAAAGCAGTGAAGCTCGAGTCTTTCAACTACATCAGAGCAAGAATTGAAATTTGTGTCATTTGAGTCTTGATAAACAATGTGCATGAATATAATGTCTGTATCATGTTGTAATCTCTCTTTTGCTAGTTTCATATTAGAGAAGTGTTTGTTATAATGTCAAATAAGATATTACAACATTGTGTTCAACATGTAAATGTTAGAATGTAATTGGCCAATAAAATAACTAACTTGAAATGTGATTCTTTGTTATATAAATAATTGATCATTCATTCATGTAAATAGAGAATTTGAAGGTGTATTATTTAATAACAATTTTCTCTCGTATTTTAAAAATGTGTATTAGAATGAAAAGTGTGTTTAATTTTAAGATTTTAAAATTTATAGAAAATGCTTTACAAGAATTTTAAATAGCAGTAGAGAAAAAACGGGAGGCGCATGACCAAAACGTGGAGTGCGGAGTAGTGTCCCAAAGGTAAAATACATGATTACCCCCGAGAATGTTGAGCCACTAAATAGATAGAGTTAGGAGGTGGTGAAGCTCATTCATGTTCATTTCAATGTCTGTTCTACACACTCCCTTCACTCATATTCCCTACAATCATTATTCACTCTTCAGAAGTAATAGTGTTGTTGATTACGCTTCCACATTCCCCCACTACCTCTCAAAGGAACCAATCCCCAAATTAACATTCGCTTCTTCTTCTTCTTCTCTTCTCCCTACTGTTGTTGATAATGGAAGCCACAACATTTTCATATCTAGTAATGAACAAGATTCGAAGGAAGAGAATGAATTTGTTGATGAAAAAGAGACGGCGAGAAGAACCCGAATAGGACTAGCTAACAAAGGAAAAGTACCTTGGAATAAAGGAAGGAAACACACTTCAGGTACTAGTTTAGGGTTTATGGTTTATTATTAAACTTTTTTTTATGTATCTGATTATTGTGAATATTATTGCAGAGACCCGGGAGCTAATCAGGATTAGAACATCAGAGGCTATGAGAGACCCCAAGGTGAAGTCAAGTAAGACTCTTTGTAGTAGTCTTCCTATTATTGTAGCCGACCCCTCTTAATGGATAAGGCTTGATTACTGTTGTTCTTGTTGCTAGTTCCTTTCTCGGGACTCATGATTCGCTTTCAGTATTTTATTATGTTCCTCTAAGAAATTTCAGGTGAAGAAGAAGAAAGCTCAACAAATCCATTCTCATCATAGGTAAACACGACTCCTTCAAAATAATGCAATCATCTACCCTGCAAAATCATTGTTTATGTATGTAAAAACCAATTGCAAAATTCGTAAGTTATGTTTTATGGGCTCATTTTTCTAACAACCTGATCTCACGGGGTGGCGTGAATCATTTTTCTAAAAGCTTCACTTGAAAATAATTTGGGAAAGAAATTTTAAGTTTTTTTTCTTTTTTAAATATTTGGTGTGAACGTCAAATGAATGTAGCCAATGACAATTCATTCTCCAATCTGTTATCAACCTTCATACAGCGAGCAAACCAAGGCAAAGATGAGTGATACACAAAGACGATTATGGAAAGAGCGGCAGAAGTCAAAGCGTGCGAGGGAGCTGTTTTTCCTCTTATGGAAACAAAACATAGCCAATGCAGCCATGGAAGGAGGGAGTGGTCAGGAAGAGTTAGGTTGGGACAGCTATGATAAGATAAAAGAACAACTGGAGCTCCACCGAATTTCACAAACAGAGGGAAAGGAGAAAGAAGAGCTGATGGCAATTGCTGGATCAGAGAAATTCTTTCAGTCATGGATGGAAAACATAGCCAAAGCAGCCAAGGAAGGAGGGAGTGGAGAAAAAGAACTAGATTGGGATAGCTACGAAAAGATAAAAGAAGAAATAGTTCTCCTCTATCAACTTCAGCGTAAATCAGAGAAGGCAAGAGCCAAAGAGATTGCAAAAATGAAAGCTGAGAAAGAAGCACAGATAAAAGCAATAAAAAAGGTAATGCTTGCTCGAAAGAAAAGAGATCTCCGAGAAGGGACTAAAGTAAGAAAGAAAAAAAAGAGTCAACCATGCAAAAATACAGTGCATGACAAACATGCCTTGGAAGTTACTCTCAAATTCGAACTTGGCTCTAAATTAACTAAAGTAAGCACTCATTATTTCCTCATTTATTTATTGTTTTTTTTATATAAATGTTACCCGATGTATCAATTAAGAACAAGAGTAATGTAACTGTTGAGATGGGAAGTGAATTAATTGTTACCTGAACTCCCTAGTTCATTGAAAGACAAATGAGACCTTTGTTGGATTATAGAAGTAGGATTTTTAATTGTTGAAAACTGATTGTTTCCAAATCAGTTGAAACATGGGAATACTTGCACTCATGGTTATATATCAGTCTTCTTTGCTACTATTGACGGTATTTTTTTTTCTTCCTTTCTTCAGAATCATGTTAGTAACAACATCAGCAATGAAGTAGCTGAAAAAGGAGACATTATGAATTCAAATTTTGCAACTCAGTGTAAATTGGATTTAGAGCTTATCATAAAAGAGAAAATGAAGAAAAAAGTATCGCTTGCAGAACAGATCCAAGCTGCTAAACTCATAAAGGAGAAGCTCAACTGATAAGACATTTCTTGCATTCTAAGTTCTAACTAACTACTTATTACGTATGTATTTATAGTTTGTATCTTGTAGACTGAGAAACTGGTCTGAGTAGTTTAATATCATGATTTATGTACTTAAACTTGGTTTTGGATTTCAGCATCTTTGTTCTTATTGTTCTTATTCCCTTTTCTCTCTTTCTTTGTAAAATAGTACATTCATCTCTTGCTCTGTCTATTTATCTAGGTAGATAGACGACATAGTGAAATTAAGTGCATTTCCACCTGGATTTGATGATGTAGAACATGGAGTCGCATCTTCTTGGAAACAGGAGGAGTTATACCAATGCTTTACTCCTGAGGAAGTTTTACACAAAATCAGTAACGTGTATGGAAGTTTAATCAATCCGGTTGATTATTCAAAGTTTATCAAGATTTGTAAAATAAAAATTGCTTAACAGGCACTATGGGATATAAAATCTATAATGCTTATGGAAAATTTGCACTTTTCTTTTACCTTCTAATGTTCTCTTATTTCTTTTATTCCTGTTGAACTTGAAAGTTAGTCAATGAATCGGCTAATAGTTGTTAACTATGATTCTCTTTTACACTTCAAATGATTGTGCCAAAAAAAGAACCTTGTTCCTTGGCTGTGAGTTCCTTTATTTTTTCATGGAGCGCTAAGTACGATTGAGTTTTTTCGTGAGCCACTAAATTAAATAATACATTAAGTAAAAATAAAACAAAACAAAAAAAAGAAAAATTGTGGAAGATATAATTATTTGATTGATTGTGTGACTGAATAATACTGTGGCCTATAAAATCTAACTCTTAGTCTGGTTTAGTTATTCTTGTGATTGATGCATGTTTCTTTATGCTGTGTTGGGTGTATGTAACGCCTCACATTTGGCCACTTTCCTGCTATCTAGGGCTGGAAATGAGTCGAGTCGAGTCGAACTCACCTCAGCTCGGCTCGACTCGTTAAGAATTGTTCGAATTCGAGTTCGAGTTCGACACGAACTTTTTTTTAAGCTCAAACTCGACTCGTTATAAGTTCACGAACAGTTCGGTTCGACTCGTTAGGTTCATCTCATTAGGTTCAGCTCACATGGTTCACGAACTTAAAAACTATTTTTTTAAATATATATATTTTTTAGTATATTTGACATTTTAAATAAATATATATATTTTTAATTAAAATATTAAAATAAAATAAAAGTTATCATATTGAAATTTAACTTTATCTTCGAAATCTACTAATTCAAAACCTACACAACTTTCAAGAGATACATTTGAGAGTCTAATTCAAAAACTAATAAATTGAAGATTAAATTTGTCTAAGATTTGAAGTAAATATTTAAACCTAATCTTAAGGACAGTATAATTCTTTTCATATGTAATCGAGTTGACTCATGAACCTAACGAGTCGAACTATGTATAGTTCAAGTTCAACTCATTTAGTTAACGAACTTAATTTTTCGCTCATACTCAACTCATTTGGTTCATGAACCTAGTTCAACGATTTAATTGTCGAGTCGAATTCCGAACTATCTTCGAGTTGGTTTGGTTCATTGCCAGCCCTACTGCTATCTCATGGCATTTTTGTTTTCCTCATCTGAACTTGCAATAAAACACTAAAAATGGAAGACAAGTTATAAAGGTGAATTGTAAAGTTTCATGTACATTTGAGTGGTTTTGATATCCCATGAGAAAGACTCGTATAACTTAAATTTGACTATTTCTAATTTGAGTGTAATTTAGAATATTTTTAGGTGTAAGCAAATATTGATGTGTCACAGTATTTGTTAAACTGAACTAAGAGATGATGCGACCAAATAACAATTATTATGTAAATCTTTATACTCATTGTGCTGCAAAACAAAGAAAATAGTCATTGTAAAAACCCTTCTTGGCCTGCGAATGAGAGAAAAAAAAACTCATTAAAACAAGCACTAACAGTTAGTCAATTACCCCAACTGTATCCTTGATTTTCTTCAAATAATTGCAATGCATGATTAGCCTTATCATTTGCAAACTATTTCATCTAGTCTAAAAGTTGAGCAAGGAAGCTCTGAATCAATAAGAAGCATTTGACCTTATAGAATTATCATTTTTATGTTCCATACTCTTTCTTTCATATAGTAAAATAATATTTCTTTAAGTAGTTTCTATTTATACTTTTTGTTTAGTTCTTCTCCTTTCAGATTCACTAGTTGTTAAAGATTTGTTGAAGGAGACTTAGTTTAAAAAACTATTTTAGCAAATGGGATTAAAGATCTTAAGTTTGGGGAAATGGTCTTCAAACTAAGAAGGATTATTTATTATTAGCAAGCTTTCATGTGGAGGAGTTTGTCCACTTTGATTTAGTAGGCTATAGTCATTTTTACTTTGAACTCTTGATTATGTTGAAGTCGATGAGTTGATCTTCATCTAGAGAGTTATTCTTCATTAGCATAGCTTGTTCATACTCATCAATATTGATTTCACAACTACTTTAGAGAGTTGGGTTCAAACATTGGTATTCCCTATTAACTTGTCTGATTACTAATTCAGAATCACCCATGATTTGTAAATCCTAAGTAGCTCATACTTCAATGCAAAAGGATTGAGTTTCATGACTTGTTTCATCAATCAACCATATATGATATATCGCATTCTATTGAGTAAATACTTCACCAATTTATCATCAAAACAAATAATAATTGAGATGATGAACTACCCTCATCTACACAATATATTACCAATCAAACAATTTATCAATAATTAATCTATCAAGCCTCATGAATGTTATTGGAGCATAGAGGATGAGAAGAATACAATATATTTCTATTAACAAAGCATGATCCAATGGAGCAATAGAAATATGTAGTAAAGAGTTATAAAACATTCATCAAAGACAGCTTGGCCGAGTGGTCTAAGGCGCTAGAATCAGGCTCTAGTCCGAAAGGGCGTGGGTTCAAATCCCACAGCTGTCAATAATTTTTTTATGACAGTCATTCTTTTTAAGTAGTTCAGTCTTTTTCAAAGGACATCATGGAAACCGTTGGAGTCATCGTAAAAATATCATTGCAAGTCTTTTGTTTTCTCACGCATTCATTTAAGAGAGGACAATTTTAAATAACTCTAGTCTTATTTTAAAAAATTTATCGGACTATTTAAAAATATAGTCCGTCCTATATTTTATAAGCATATCATATCATATGTCCGAGTCTTTAATGCTTCAAATTTATTTGTAGTTTCTTTCTTTTCCTTTTTATTTTTAATGAGCTGAAGAGAAAAAGGTAGGAGACGATCCATGTTTCTCAATTTGCAATAAACCCTTAAAACACTCCAGCATTTAGTTGGAGAAAGGGTGACTGGTGATTTGGCAGCACATTTGAACCAACTAAGTTGTAGGTAGTTGACTATATATAATCGATCGAATCGGTTCCAAACACTCCCTAATTATCGCCCTAAAAAAATTGTGCATATAACATTTCTCTACATCATATACGCTACCTTATATAAATTATCAGCCCAATTTACATTAGTGTAATGGTATCAATGCAAAAACTGAATCACTAAAGGATCTGAGTAAACCTCAAATAACTATATATACAATATGATGACTTAAGTGAAAACAAGACATTATACATCAGACTAACATCAATATAATAGATTCAGTTATCAGTATGTGATACCCTTCAAGGTTTATTTTCTACTCCAGAAGCAGATTCTTCCTGACAAACCTGTTTCTCAGTAAATATTGGTGGGTTGGTCGCAGATCCGTGTATCTGTTAGTTAAACCAAACAATGAGACTAGCATCAAAAAAAGAACTATCTAGCTCATTGAAGCACTCATGCGATTTCATAATTCAGGAATGCATACCATGGAACTGGATTTTGAAGATTTTGAAGGTAGAGTATCACTAAGAGGCAACATTGATGAATCTGAGGGCCTGTGAAACAGCAAGTGAGCTATAGACCGATCAATGGGATTTGTAGTAGCTTCCATGTTCACAAATCCTGTACACCTGTATACAAATAGGGGTCATTATACTAACAAAAATGATATATTCATAGACACCATTTTTGTAATGTAATACAATAATAGACGCTTAGCTTTGTTCGTGTATGAAAAGTTAATATTGTTTGGCTAAGTTTTGTAAATCATTTTGGAAATCTTCAGACAGTCTTTTGTTAATCCAAAACAAAATGCATATTGAATAAACCTCTTACAGTTGATTTCAGTTATATTGTACTAAGTTTTACATTCTTTGTTGAATTGTGATGATTATCTTTTGATCTAAAAAGGACATTAAATGTGGTTTTTGGTTCCTATAATTGTATATATTCCAATGTATTTATTTTATAATTCCAACAGATGTGTCGGTCGTTGTTGATTACTAACTACGGGAAATATAAAAAACAAATGAATAAAGTTAGCAATACCTGTTAGCATCCTGTGTCATTACTCCTTTAGATGCTTCAACATCATCGCCCATTAAAGCACTTGCATTGGCATCAATATGTCTTTGGTCAGCACTTTTGGCTAAGCGGTATAGGCTGTCCCTTATGCATAGTTTTACTTTAACGTCCAACTGCAATCAAGGAAACTATATGTTTACAACAGTACATTATAATTTTATAACCTACTGACAAAAAATTAACACGAATGAGTGTTACTAAAGGCATATTATGTCGGCCATCCATATAAACAGTGTTGTGGCCTATGGGATTGACATTACAGATATATTTAAGTGTCGGCGTATGGAAGCTGGCAAAATCTGCCATGCTATAACACCCTGGAAGAAATTTGACAATATTGGTAGATAATAACTTTAACATGGAAAATGGCTTCTCTAAAACAAGGGGTACACTGAAGAAAAGTATTGTTATAGTAGTTTATTTGAAGAAAGTAGAATTTAACAATAAAAAGTAGTTATAGTTATAGACTTATAGTCATAACCCCCTAAAACTGGGCCTTACGCTGAAGTCTAAACCACCCATAATAAAACCTCCTTAAACCAGAATTTGATAGATGCCTAACATGCTGTGTTTTGGGAGCACCATATTTACAACACATTCATATGGCAAGCAGAATGGGAGAGTTAATGTTAACACAATCTCAAAAAGAATGTTAACCATTGTAAAGAAACTGAATCAGTCAAGATGCATGGCATGTTAATTTAGACATCAATGTCCAAGAGACATGGACAAGAAACACAGGATCAAACAATAACATCGCAAAAGATTCCAATACCTGATCCAGGACCTGTTGCAACTGGCAAAAGCTAGCTGCTTCATGTGAGATTCCATCCAACGCAAAGCTCATAGATGAACTTTCCTGTACATTTGATGATTCTGTTTCTGGTGAAAATCCTGTGCTAACTTCTCCAACTTCACTATGGCCTTCTTTCAAATTTTCAAACTGACGTCCTACCTTCTGAGCTGAACCTGGACTTTTCAATTGCATAGGATTCTGCGTATTTTCACTTTTGAAAGCCCTACTTGTAAGTTTTGCATCATTGTGAAGATATTGATTTTCTTCCTTATAATTTGTTTTCAAGGCAGTAGCCTCCAAAGGATGACCATGAGAATTCTCCATATTTGATGCATATGGTGATTCTTTAAAAGAAGATGGATATTCATCGTGTTCAGACCTTGATCCAGACAAGGCAGGAAGGAGAGGTGTATAATTTGAAGTATAGCTGCAATTTGGGTGCATTGAGGGAGTTTGCATCTGTACACAATCCATAGAATCAGAATCCATGTTTTGCTTGTGAATGCTATTCTGGGTAGTGACCCCACTAGAAGAGGCTTCATAGGGTTGTTTCAGATTTGCATGTTGCTCCTCGTGGGCATAAGGATGATCAGAATCACCATCTTTTAGACAACTATTTTTTCTCTTTCCCGCTGATTGCTTTAACAGTTGTCCTTGTATCTGCCAAACAACGAGGCTGTTCATAATATGAAATTCAAGAGACAATTTCTTTCTGTTTATAAGTACACCTGAATTAAATAGACTGGACAGTCAGATTTGTTCGCTTTTACCATAAAATAAAACATAAACCCAATGAGTGGTACAAAACGCCCAAAAATATAACAGCTGAAATTGAATAAAGATCAAGCCCAATTTTCTACTTTAAAACATAATTTACATAAAATTAAAAATGTAAGCACTTGGTTGCTGTCAAAAAAGTGTAATCACTAGATCCAATTGATGCACTAGATTATGGAACTCTAATCAGATAAAAATGGATACATCACATATTGTCTTCGCAATTAAATTTTTTCTTTTAATCCAGTGGAGTACCATATGATTCATATCCTTAATTTCAGTTTTAGGTATGCATGGTTAGGAATTTATATCATTTATACTATTAGAATATATTAACTATATCTCAGTAATTTTAAATAACTTAATAAGTATAAATGATGACTATTGTCTTATCTTCATAACATCACTTTCATCTTTCTTTTCCTCCTCATATAGATCTCCTCCATCTAAGCCTCTATAACATCAAAAATAATAATTATACAATACATAAACTCTGGCATCGTCGGTTATATCATTGAAATTTCAAACACAATCAAGTCATGTGTTGTTAATCATGAATCACTTATTCAAATTACGCTATGCCACAATGCTACAGCCACTATTTGCCAACACATTGTACTAAATTGTGTATCACGGAACAATAGGGGTTTGTTCCAATTCGGCTATGCTATAGCCTCGCCATTGCTTCTATTTGACAATATTGATCAGGTCTAGTGTATTCACAATAGTATAAATTTAATGACAGAATTCAATATATAAATTCAATGCCATCAACAACTTTAAAAAGTTTAGACAAAGATCTCAAACTTATTATGCAACATGATTAGAAATCCTACATAAGTGTAAATGATGATGATGATTATTGTCTTATCTTCAGAACATCCATCACAAAATATTACACTAGCAAATATAACCCATGGTAATTTCAAAAACAATAACACCTCTATTGAATGGATAGCTTATATTCAGATATCAACTGAATTGAATTCTACAATACATGAATTCTGACATCATCGGTTATATCATTGAAATGTCAAACACAATCAAGTCATGTATTGTCCATCGTGAACCATTTATTCAAATTACGTCATGCCTCAATGCAATAGCTGCTATTTCCCAACATTGTGTACTAAATCGCGTATCACAGAGGAATGGTGGTTTGATCAAATTCTGCTATGCTATGGCATCGCCATTGCTACTATTTGACAATATTGATTAGGTCTATAATGTCTTCACCGTAGCATACATGTAATGCCAGAATTCAATCTACAAATTGAAAGGCACCAACAATTTTAACAAGTTTAGAGACAGATCTTAAACTTATTATGCAATGTGTTTATGAGGTTCATTTGGTGGGTGCATATCAGAGGAATAGTGGTTTGTTCAAATTCCGCTATGCTATGGCATCGCCAATGCTACTATTTGACAATATTGATTACGTCTAATGCCGTCACCATAGCATAAATGTAATGCCAGAATTCAATCTATAAATTCAAAGGCAGCAACAATTTTAACAAGTTTAGATACAGATCTTAAATTTGTTATGCAATATGTTTATGCGGTTCATTTGGTGGGTGCATATGTATTTCAAAAGAATCCCACACAAACTGGAGCTACTTATTTTAAAATTGAGAAATTCAGAATCCAAATTAAAATTTGAATCTTTTAAATAAAATATGGGATAGCCAACCTTTTGTTCAGGCATCAAGTCATTTGTAATACCCGACTTCGTGTCTGATTCCCCAAATGTTGACAATGAAGTAGGAACAGCATCAAGATCAACATCCATTTCACACCTCAGATTTTTATCAGAAGGAGATGGTTTTTTGTCACAATCAAGAATTGGCAGACCTTCAATATTGTCCTTCAGATCCATAATATAATCTGATTCTGATATACTTTTCAAAGGACTTGCACCAGCATGTGAAAACTTGAAGTCAGATTTCAGGGCATCGCCATCGGGTCCTTCAGTTCCATGTGAGAGCCAGCAGAATTCATCTTCATTATTGAGGCCCCCCATTCCAAAAGTTGAGTCATAATTTCTGCAATTTTAAAAACTAATATTCAGGTATTCATGGTAATCATTATGAATTAACTAGTAACTCATACAAATCAAACGGTGAAAAACTTCAGTCACGGTAGACTTTCTTACAACATCATCCTATCAACATCTTCAAAGCTGTCTATATCAAGCCATCTATCAGTATCAAGAAAGCTAAGCTCATTGTCAGGTTGCGATATATGATTAATTGAATATTGAGAGACATTATCATCCTCCATCAAACTCTTGTCTCCTAAGATACTATCATTTGCACAAAGCTCACAACTGCTAGAATCTACATTGCTGCTCTTGAAACAATGAGCAGACATACTTGGTGATGCTGGCCTTTTCTGTTCTTTGCTTGAGCCACAATTACACGGAGAAAACAGATCTTCACGTTTGCAAGACCATGACCCCTTTTCCACCATTCTTTCTTTCTGATTCTGATTTGGGAGCATTGCTCTTTACCTTCACGTAATCCGCAGTTCAATGTTACTTTTGATACAATATATAGTTCTCATGAAGTAATTTCTTACTATCAGACTGTATTGCAAACTGGTCCTTGAGTTTGTCACCGGTATGGAGCACTATCTCATCATCCATTTCAACAAATCCATGGAATGCATTATCTTGAAGCTGTAATAACACCAAACAGTTGTTTAAAAAACGACTTGCAATAATCTAGCATCAAGAACATAATAAATCCTCGCAAAATAGAGCTCAAATTATTTTTCTTTCACCAGCCCAACAACAACAACAATCAAGCATTATCCCACTAAGTGGAATCAGCAACATGGATCAACTTCCCCTTTAATATTCTATCCCGGACCATGCTTATCTTCAAATAATTAATCTCTAGATCTTTCTTAATATCTTCAGCAACCCAACAAACATAAAAATTATTTCCCGGGTTAGTAAGGTCTATTATTCTAATTATTACTAAGATTGAAACGGACCTTTTACATAATTTTCACCACCAATTACAAATGAGTCGGGGATAAAACAATTATTTAACTGGGAAGATTCTGATTTAGTGAAGAACCATAACTTTACTTGCACCCTATAATTTGCTATAAAGTATAAACCATCCAAATAAAACATGATCACCATGTCAACTATCAATAATAAATAAATTTATGATACAAATCAAAAAATTCACCACTGACTTATTTTAAAATTGGAGCATGAACTATAACCCTAAGAATAAAAACATGGCATAGAAAATTATAAAATTATAGATACAAACACAGAAAGTTGAAGATCTAGAACGCAAAAGTACGTCACTAAGTTGCTTAAATAGACATTTAGGAGCGCTGATTTAATTTGAAGAGAAAAAAAAAAGGAACGAACCTGAAATTAGAATTAGGTTAATCTAATTTTACAGAGAAATTAGAGAGATGATTGATTTTGTATTGAGTCTGGTTCTTGTGCGTCGTTGTGATGAGTTTCTAGATGATTCTTATTCTGTTGTTAACTCAGTAGCAAAATTTTATTTTTGTTTTCTAATTTTATTGATTGATTGATTAAGGAGTATTTTTAATTAATTAAGAAAGTTGTTTTGAAAGGTATGAAGGTGGAAGCGACGCGTGGATACGAGAAATCGTGGTTCGTGGATGGGAATAGGCACTGAGATCCGATCAGTTGCGATGTTTTAATTCGTCCACGTAGCCCTTTTGTAATTGTGGATTTGACACGTTTAAAGGGACCACTGCGCCGCACTCTACCTCCTACTCCTACTGCCTTTTCATTTTTAAAACCCAAATCTCTAAAAAATAAAAATCAGCTAAAAGATAATTTTAGTTAAATTATAAATTAATTGTTAGTGCCTTTGATCAGCAATAGAACTCCCTCCATGATAATTTATAAAAAAAAAAATCACTATTTTACACTTATTTTTTACAATGAGAGATCTATTTGAAAAAAAATATATTTAAAAATGAAGAATACATTTTAATTTTTAATGTATTTTTTTAAATTTTATTCTCTAATTAATATTATTTTCATCATTTCTAATCTAGGATAAATGTATTTTAGTAAAATTATCATTTTCTCATTCATTTAATTTTTTTATTAATCTGTGTGAAAAAATCAACTGAATCACTCATTATAGAATGAAGAGAGTAATTTTTTCTAACTATTTAAATGAATAGTTATTCATATGTTATTAATTATACTATCTCTGGTCACTATTATAAGTATAAATTCTTTTTTAAATTCATTGAATGATCGATGTAGTTGGTCTATATAGAGATTATATACATTTGTTATTTAATGAATCTAAAAACAAAATCTTTCCTTATAATAGTTACTGGATAGAGTAATGTTCAATTTAATTTATCTCTAATACAATTATTAATGATATACATATGTGTTTTAATTAATATAAGTAATAAAATTAAATTAAAAAGTATTTTTGATATGATACCAAAATGTAACACTGTAACATCATGATTATAGTGTTAATTTTATTTTGGTATATGATGCATCAAAGTACAAGTCTAACCGATATATCATCAATAAGACATAAATCTTCAACACAACGAAAATATGCTTCTTCTGATCTTCAGTGTTAAGTTTAAAGTTGCTAATTCAATCCAAACACCTGTTTATTTGAAAAATAATAATAACAATGTCGGATGAGATCGATATAACCTCAATGGATTCCTAATCTAAATCATTGAAACATTCATTATCCTTCTACCTAGTTCAAGGTACAAGTTATGTAATCTGTTACAGTAACTCACATAACCTAAAATAATTTACAATAATAATCACCAATCTTTCGTATAATCTAAAGAGACGCCAACAACCACATAGCCCCTCCTCTAAGTAACCCATATTGGTCACGATCCCATGGGGTCCCTTCCATAAGCATAGCCTATGGATCATCTATCCTACTATCACTAAAAGGATATACATCATGCATAATCCCATATATTTGAGTTTTATACCGAGAGTGTAACTATCCCATATAGCTCGTATGTCATGGTCTATACAGAAAGTGCTTGACTAATAAGTGTGATGTATAGATCATTGATCATCCAACTACAACTCATAAGACTCCGATCTTGAGCATGCCTAAGCATATTGTTAGAGTTATATATTATGACTGGGATAACTCTTATCCGATTAAGGTTAACTTCTCAACACACATTATAAGATCAACAATCCAATACTCATAAACTTGTACTTGATTACACGATAACACTATATCCACCAACTAGAGTATCAGAACAAGATCCATATTCCTTTATTGGCTCGATCGGGACAACTCAACATGCCTTACATTGAATCACTAAGATAAGTACCATATCTTATGACGGTTACCGGGAGAACTTAACATGTGTTATAACTAGATCATGGGATAACATCATATCCACATTACCATACTACCAGGATAAGATCCATATCATCCCATGAATAATATAATATTCATCATTTAGGAATATCATAATAATCACATATTCCACTTTCATGGGTCGTCAGGGTACTGTTGTAATTTATGAACAATAAATGTTCATGGATGTGTTCCAAAATGACAAGAAAAATGAAAGTGAGTAAATACCAATAAATGATTGAGAAATAGTCTCACATATAAAAAGTTTCACTCACTTTAAAAATCTTTATAAAGAGTTATGAGTATTATGCCACTTGTCTCCTCCATACAACCCCTTGTTGGTGTCACCACCGGCAACACCAGCTCTGGCACCGGGACCGAGTCTAAGGGCGTGGCGTAGAGGCGCTAGTGGCGGTTTGTAGTCGGAACTTGAGCACTTAGGCACGACACATCTAAGTAATCGGGCTACTTGCGGCATTATAAGATGGCGCTCTGACGGGCGGCGGATGGTGTAACACTCTTCTAAACCCCACGCATTAAATATAAATAATCGGAGTGAATTATTATGCATCTCACAAAAGGGTGTCACATATAATTTTAAAACATCACACAAACACATGTCATGCTCAATAACACTTAAAATAAATTCATGCTTTTCGTACACTTTCATATTAGCATGTAGCAGCGAATTTTCTTCAATCATATTAGACGTAATGAAAGTCTCATACTCATCTCATTCATAATCAACACTTAGGCATAAAAGCCAATACTCCACATCATTCAAATAAATATAACATAGAGTATAGTACATAATGTATCTCTCAAACATAAACCAAAATATCCCCAGTGTTAGATGACTAGAGCACGACTCGATCCAACATAAATAAAGAAACTAAATCAGCTACTTCAATGGCTACCTCTCGCTATGAGCAACTCTACTCCTCGGTACCTGAGCGATGTCGTACAAAACATTATTCCAACAAAAGGGCGAAAATTCATATAATTATTGAAATCATAAGATATATATAATTTAGGGCACACAATCATAATCACAATTATTCGCACACTTTAAAAGTTTCATCAACAAAGTATCACTAAAGTAACCATACCATTCACAAGCATATACACCCAATCCATAATTTCACCAATTCACCAATTCACATAAATGCACGTAATCTCATATAACAAGTATATACACAATGGGACTCAATGCAAGACTCAAATGCAACTCATGCAATATGATACCAATCACTTGTTATTATTTTTCAGTTTTTACATTAAACCGGGTCTGTTTCCTAGACCAATAACACACAAAAAGCTCATCCCCTAAGCTTTTAAACCCCGCTCTAGGTTTGGGACAAGTCACTAGCTCCCACGGAATTAACAAGCATTGCCTCTTAATGCAAATGATGCATGTGCAAGTTTACAACCATATGCAATTAAGATAATTCCTTAATCTTAACATTCATGCATATCTTCAATAATTCATCACACTTGAATTACCACGCAATTACACATACTTGCACATTTTTATGAATCATCCACACATATTTTAGAATACAATCACAATTGTTTTATCATTACAACAAGCAATAAATATCATGCATTTCATGTTCTCACACACCAAAATATACTTATACAAGAAAATACACAAGTATTCGATAAATTATCCACAAATAATTTAACAATCGACAACAAACAACACAACAACCCAATACTATAACATATACACAATTGACTTCTCAAACATATTAGATATAAAAATATTTATAAACCAATTATATTATCTATACTATGTTATAGATCTATTCATTAGCTTTCCAACACTTCAAACGAGGACCAAAACGGACTTAAGGATCAAAAGTTATGGTCAAAATCGTCGAAACAAATTTTTTACCAATACACAACATTGCGTCGACCGCTAGCGACGGGATCAGTCAATGCATTGAAGGAAGAAATAAATCCAGAAAAATGCATTCAGTACGTGTTAACCGCTGCGACGGATGCGTCGACGCAAATAGTACAGTATGCAGAATTTTCTGCGCTTTTCACCGTTGGAGATCTTCCGGACCTCTGATTTCATAAAAAATTTCAATTCTAGAATTCAAAATATTACCATTA